TATAAAACACATATTTAAAATAAATATATGCGATGTAATTATTATAAAAACACGGTATTTAGAGTAATATTTTTACTTGAAATATTAACATACAACATGTGCATGTAATATAATACAAACTGTGACAAACAATTGTAAAAGTTGAATACGATTATTGCATAATAAACATTTCATTTGAATAATAATCTGTATAGATAATCTATTTATATAGATATATATATACTACATGTTATTAACAATAGCAGAGAAATATGCACATAAGGTAATGATATGAATTATATTCACCATATGTTATGCAATTTTAATTATTCCCTAAAAAAGGGAAAACAAATATGGATGATGCACTATATGCTATGGTGTTAAGTGTTTTTAATGGCATTTAGTATTTGATCGGGAAATGCATAGGTAACACTTGAATGAAATGCTCAATAATAAATAAGCAGTAATTATATTCCACAGAATTGCGACTTATGTATATGCTTCTTGTAAAAAAGGGCAAACAAATATGGATGATGCACTATATGCTGTGTTTTGAGTGTTTATAATGCCATTTAGTATTTGATCGGGAGATACATAGGTAACAATTCAATGCAATGCTCAATAATAAGCAGTAATTATATTCCACAGAATTGTGACCTATGTATTTGCTACTTGTCGTGGAATATAATAATTCTAAATACCAATCTTCACTTTGTCCGGTATGAAAAATTCTAATCATAATCACACGTGTGTGTGTGTGTGTGTGTGTTTTTGTTTTTTTTTAAATAAAATGGTTCATTTGGAGTTGATGTAAGTCGTCTCACAACATATTTGTCTGCGATATCATCACGGGGAAAGCGGACGTTAAATAAAATTATTTAACACTCTCATATCTATAGCTCAGATACATTCTTGTTTATAATGTTACAGTCTCAGAATAAATAAAATTGGGGTTTAACGTCCTGGCTTTCTGCACCGACTGGGCTAATGAACAAGGGAATCTCAGAATAACCGATATTATATTTAACTCTAATCAGTGTTCTCTTTATGGCAAGATCTAAAGTTATAATTATATCCAATTATACAGACAATAGAAGTATCGGAAAATGACCCCCAGTCGACGCTCTGGTACTAATTTATTATATAAAAAATCTAAGAAAATGGACTATGCAAAGTTGATGCTGAATAAAACAAAATGTAATTATCACTATAAAATCCTCCTGTACTGTGGCGATTACAATGTTAGGCTTGCTGTTTTTCATAAAGGCCTATTAGAGGTTGACGCGGCGTTAAATAAGACTTGTATGTCGTTTAACACGTTCTATATCTTAGCATTATACGATCATACAATATGCGATTATTCACCTTTGTCTATGATTAAATACTAGAAAATGAGGTACTATAATTAATAACAATGGTTTTAACCTTCTGTGTGCTATGAGGAAGTGTTCGTCATTTTTTTAAGCGGAGAAGATTTTGACCCAATTAGACGTAACGTATCATCAACACGTTTAAATTTGTATTAAAAAAAAATATTGATTATGTGAAAAATATATACTGCACTCTTTTACCTTTATTTTTTTTAAATTTTTTATTAAAAACATCGTTTATTTACAATTACATGTCAAATTTCATATTATTTTCCGGATGTTTACATTTTAAATTTAAACCGTATGTGCACCATTTTTGTTTACAAATGTGTAAATATTCTAAAGATATGAATATTCATGATATGTAAATGAATATTGACCATATAAATTTCAAATATAAACAACGGTAATTTGTATATATTATATTATATTATATTATATTATATTATATTATATTATATTATATTATATTATATTATATTATATTACGTAAATTACATAATTGATTATTTCTATTATTAATAATTTATTCAGTAAAAAAAATACAATTATTCCGGTATGTTATTAATAAATTTGAATGACAAATGACTTACAAAGAACATTTATTTTAAAAAAAAAAGAGAACCGAAATTCTATAATAACTTAAACAATTGTATAATTACTTGCACGCTGCATATCAATTTTCAATTAATAGAAATAAGGGATAGCGTATCAAACCTTATGTATCACTATAATAAATTCTCCACAATCGATGATATGTGTGTGAAAATTAATTATTATTTCCATGCATGAAAATTAAGAAACTAATTCCAATTGACTCGAATATTATTTTTGGTTTGTTATTCTTTATATAAAAAAAACTATATATATCAAAGTAAGTATGTACATATAAAGGCTTTTTATATGTTTCCGTATTAAATACATAACAATATATATACACACAGGATAACCATTACATACAGTTATAAAGAACTACAAAAGATACCCGGTCTTTCAACGGAGCTCTAACTAGACCATTGATGATTATAGTTGCTTTTAGTATTCATTCAGAAACCGTCAATAACACAAATAATATCAGTATACTTCGTCTATCTATACACAAATAAACGGTCTACTGTTCTGCAACAACTACTGTGATAATGAAGGGGCATACATCGTGCAGTGTTTTGGGGAAATTTGGACCGGGCAGCGGCGTTTCTGTCCACTTTTTTTTTTTTTTATCGAATTTCAGTTGTCAAAGGTTCTTTTACGTCCACACCAAAATACAAATAAACGATTTGAGTAAACTATTATGGGTTGTTATTTTTTTAGTTTCTTGTGTAAAATTATATTATTTATTAGATAAATGTATCTTATTTTTTTTTTTTTTTATTACCAATTTCTATTGCTAAAATATATAAATAAATCTACTAGTAAAAAAGCACAACGATAATATAAAAAGCAACAAAAACTAAAACAGATTTTCTCAAATCCAATTAACATATAAAATACGCTCGTGCAACAGCCATCACACAAACACAAAAAAAAACACCGATCCTCTAATATGTTTTATTTTAAAATTTATTCATCCGTTTTTATTTCATTAAATTCTCTGCGTTATAATGTTCTATTATTGGAACGAATAAAATAGAAAAATCACAAAACTGGAACAATCATAGACGAAGCGAAAATTGACATCTAGAGGAAAGCTTGTCGACGGCATCAAGTCCTTAGTTTGATGAGTGAGTGATTTTCTTATAGCGTTGACAAATCATACTAAAACAACAGACGAATAAAAATCAGATTTGAAATTGAACAGTGACATACATTTAATCGAGTCAATGCTAAAAACCAAATTTGTTTTAATTTTATTTAAATGGTGTCGACAGATTTGATAAAAAAAAAGATATATTAATAACAGAAATTAAAATTATACAAAAAACACAAAAAAATAAAAATCATTTGTGTATTGGGACAGATTTAAATCGAACGATGTCATAGATTTATTGGAATTATGTTTAAAAAAAACAAATTTACTTTTATTTGCATGTTGTCAAAAAGATCTGGAATAGATATATTTTAAATCCAACGATGACCTAGATTTATTGGAATTATGTTAAAAACCAAATGTACTTTTATTTACATGTTGTCAAAAAGATCTGGAATAGAAAATGATTGAAATATATGTTTTAGGTGTCAAGAGTTGGTAATGGGGGTGGGAATCAATTATAATTCCTGCTAAAACCCATTTATATACTGGCCTGGGTGAGATGTTTCTTTATTAACTATAAATGGGGGAATATGTACTATTACATAAATTTATATAACTGAATGTATAGTAGTAGTAGTGTATTGTAGTGATTGTATCAAAGGTGATATATAGTAACTCACTGTGTAGTGTTCAGTTACATTCTAAATAATATACAACATTCAGGGCTGAATATCACAGCTGATTTAGTATTGTGCTGTGTATCAATGAACGTGCAAGAAAATACACACAAAACAACTACACACACATCTCCAACTCTCCTTTGAATAACTGACCCCGACCCGTTGATATATTATCGGTGACCTGTTATTGTAATGGACAACGAATAGTGTGGTATAATTCGATCAAAAACCTAGTTCAGTGGTGATTATATTTTGACCAGTGGTAAAAAGAAGCCGAACTCGCGCGAGCATTGTGTAACTTCACTCAACGACCAGGAACACACCGGTTCACGGTTAGCTATTGTTACTTTTTTTTATTTCTTAATCTAAATAACGTTATGTCCCCGTCCTTCCCTCCATTTCTCACGGAATAATAACTTTTTAATTCAACATGTCAAAACTCCAAAACATGAGCTTTTTTCAAATCAATGACGTCATTTGATTGGCAGTAACTACCGATTCATCTCATCCGTGGGTAACTCACGTGATTTTTGGCACCTGCAAAATTTTGAACGAATTGTTGAGTCGTTTTCTACTAAGATATAGTCGTGTCTTTACGATTTAGGCCAAATAAGTGAATACCGCTAAAAGAAGAAAATTTCCCGCGGTGAGGCAGCTTGGACAATGTAATCAGCTTGAAGCCTACAGAGTCGAACAAAGCGTGTTAGTTAGGCCCCGCCTCCTTTCTACACAACTCTTTCAGATTGTCACGTTGCGGGGCCATTGTGTGTCAGTCAAACTCGAAGCGTACTCACTTGCCACCGAAGCCCGAGTAAAACAAGTGATTTGATTGGTGGGCGAGTCGAGGTATTCACTATAAACCAATCAATGCGATCGTCTTGTAAGGGATATTAGTAGAAGAAAAGAACTAGGTTTTAAGTGTGGACATCCTATGTGGCTATAGATAGGACTAGTGTGCTGAGTCTCTAGTATTTATCGTTTATATCTATCTTAACAGTGGGACAACAACACACATTATTCATTCCGTGTTGTTTAGCGTATAGTGTAGCAAGGATAAAGCCTCTCGATTACTGTCTATTACTCGGTATTGTATGTAGCTTGTATTCAGGGATAGAATTGTCGACAAGACATTTGAATAACTTTTTCAATGTCTTATATGGAAGACGTCAAGGCCATGCAGCAGCACGCACCAACAAACCTAAGTTCTCCCCCATCTCATGGGGTACTACAGCATACCCCTCCACATCAACATCAACAGTCAAATCCACAGAGTAACCAAAACGGAGGTTCCGGCGGTGGTTCGAATGGATCAAACGGCGGTGGCAAGATGTTAAGTACGGATCCGCGAGTAAAAAGACCAATGAATGCATTCATGGTAAGTTTTCAAACTTTTTCTTTCCATTTCCCCACAGCGTCAATAGTTTTTATATAATAACTGAATTTGATCTGTTAGAACTATATTTCTCTGTTATTAAGTTCGATTTTATGTGGATTGGTTTTTTATATTGAGTGTGTTTGAGTCAACGATTTGTACAAATGAAGTGAGGAGTTTTTTGTTATATAAATAGAACTGAACGCTGTACCTGATGAAATTATCCATGTATTTTATTAGAGTTCGGCAGGTGTTTTTCAAAATGGCTTTATATAAATTTATATACTCGGTATTTTCTTATAACCCATTACACCATGGACGTAGATTTGAAAATACATGTAGCGATATATATATATCTATCGTTGGATTAGGATAATCCTTGATAATACGATTATTGTACATGTAGTAGCCGTTTTATTTAGCTATGATCTATATGTACGCAAGGTAGCCTATGTACATACCTATGAAAGGGCTACCTGTAAACCCTACTGTACACAACAAGACTTTGTCACAAAATGGCTGCTTGTTTTTGATTGACCAATTCTAATTTTATCGTACCTAAATCACTGTCAAAGTCTTAATTGAATTTCTAATTAAATTAAAGAGTTTTTATACCAATTTTAATATTTAATTGATTTAATAACTTAAATACTACATGAACTTTCATTTGGTGATTTATAAAACGGCTTCAGTTTACCTTTGCGTATTTTCTCATATATTTATTCTGAAATAGTAAATCAAGAAATAAAATTAGTAAAGGAAATTCTAAGTTTTTATGTGAGTTTTTAAACTCTTGTTTAAAATGTACTTGTAAGTGACATTATGTTTTGTTTTAAACATACAAGTTAAAGGAAATTAGAGAGACATATTACTTTTAGTAGGTCATTTTAAAATCTATTTTTATTAGTTTAGTGAGTGGGAATAAGGGAGAGTTGTGTTGACATTAAAAGATTTAATTTCTTTTGTGTATTTTAGAGATTATTAGTTTTGAATTTTGACATTGATTTCAGTGTAAGAATTCAGGTCGGATATCAATGAATAAAAGCCCATATTTTATTGAGCTATTGTTAAATGGCCTTACTTAATAAATACAAGCTTTCGATTTTTTTGATTCAATATGAAAATGCGGGTTTGATTGAATTGGGGAGTTTGATTTTGTTATCTCTTTCATATATATATATATATATATATATATATATATATATATATATATATATATATTATATATATAAAACAATATTCCTTTATTTTATTTCTTGAATCAATTATTATGTAAAATAGTTATTTCTTTTCTGTTTTAAATGAATATGTTGTTTTTTTGAAAAATAAGGCTGGTTTTTTTAAAGTTCAATTTAATTTCTCTTCGGCCCACGGCTAGATAATTTTATCTGTGTTTTGTTGTTATTCACCTACAGTTAATGTTAAAATACATTTGTTTTGTTTTATCGGAGTAAAATAAATGTGTTATCGGGGTTTGAAATTGCCGTTGGCATGGATTCTTGTACTAAAAAACGTACTAGACGTGTAGGTTTATAATGAAATCCTAGGTTTACGTGTTTTGTATTTTTTTTTAACATACTTTAATTTTTATCCGGTATTCCGTAGTTTATCCTATGCATTGAACGGGAACTGTGTTGATATATATTATTTTAATAGAATTAATTTAATTTCTTTTTAATTATTTTAAAGGTATGGTCACGTGGACAACGACGAAAAATGGCACAGGAGAATCCCAAAATGCACAATTCTGAAATCAGTAAGAGATTAGGTGCCGAGTGGAAACTTATGACAGAAACTGAGAAGCGACCGTTTATTGACGAAGCTAAACGTTTACGGGCTATCCACATGAAAGAACATCCCGATTACAAATACAGGCCTCGACGAAAAACGAAGACTCTGATGAAAAAGGACAAATATGGATTACCAGGAATGCCTAATACACCGATGCAACAAGTTGGACGTGAAGCCGCCATGTATCAACACATAAACGGGTATATGCCTAATGGTTACCCGATGATGTCCCATGACCCCAACACATATCAACAGATGGCAGGCTTAGCTGGACATTACGGTTATCAGAATATTCCTGCCCAGCCAGTTACAGGTGGACAAATGACCGCTCCCTCATATATGAACGGAACGTCCAGTTACACCATGTCAATGGCACAGATGTCTCCCTACATGGCCCCTGCTCATGCTCAATCTCATCCCGCAGTTAAACGAGAAACGAACACACCAACACATCCCGGGGCCCAGACCCAATCGAGTAAATATCCACAACAAGGCGATCTCAGAGATATGATAAATATGTACCTCCCAACTCCAGGCGACACGAGTGAAGCCGCTCAACAGCAACGGCTACATTTTCAGCAGATGCAAGGACAATATGCCCACCATCTCTCCCAGTCCTCCAGTGAGGGACCGGTTAATAATACCGTACCCCTAACACACATGTAACATTGGGAGACGTCCCGTAAAAAAACTTTATTTTAAACAGAATTCATTACAAGTGCATAAAAAAAACCTTTTTTTGATGGAAACAGATTATGACGTGAGCTGTAAGTGAAACTAGCTCGAGCCATTGAGAATACGACATTGTAGAAGCCGAGAGAGTGAGTTACTCGGGGAGTATTACTCAAATTTTTACGCCTGCCATTTTTTCTCGAATCCTCATCGATGTGTGTACAGTTTTTCTTTTCTTCTTTCGGTTAACCGGTTAGCCTCGAACTATAAATGGACCAAGAGTGTTATACTGAAGAAAAGTGTACCGATTTGTGTGTCAAATGTGCTATTATAGAAATGTACTATTTCGTTTCACGTTAATTTCTCTTGTCGGAATATTATTCAATTTAATGATAATTATTTGCATAATATTCTGATTTTGGACCATTAGATGAATGGTGTAAGTGTGATTTTTTTAATTTTGTGTCGGGCTGTTCGAATTAAAAATAATGGAATATATACTAAATAAATGAAGAAATCCAGTTTTAAGACAAGACAATCATGTGTTTATAAATTACAATCCGGAAAATATTTCCGGAACGAAATTACGCATAATGTAACATTTTATTACTAAGAAATCCATGACTTTAAAATGAAGCATATCCATAATACTATAACAAAAATCATTCCCGTAAGGTTTTACCGAAACGAATTGAAGCATAATATCATTTTAAATTAAAATGAACGAATTATTAAACATTATCTCCATGTTTTTAAGTTCACATTCGTTCGTGTCATAGTTTATAGATATATTTACATTGATAAGACATATCATCATTATTATTATTATTATTGAGAAATCCATAAATCGTTGTTAATAGTTCTTATTTTTTTTGAGAAACATTTTGTACCGTTTATTGTTATATATTATTATATGTCCCCCGATTAAGATGTATAGATTATTTCATTTATTATTTACTTTATTGTACAGTAAACATTTATAAAGCGCCGAGTAGAATATTTTAAAATAATGTCGCCCGCCCACCCAGTATCCTGTTTGATCCCATTTTATTATAGTGATGGGCAGTGCTCAACGAAATGCCACCTAAATACTTAGTAATTTCGTTTTTTTATATTTAAAATTAATATTACTAAAACGAATACGCCCTGAGCTAGTTATAGATAGATATATGTGTAGAGGGAGAATTTATATTTTTTTCTTGTTTTGGAATTTAGATCTTATTTATTTCGCATAACATTCCATTTAAGTATTTTCTTTTTACTTTTATTCGCTTTTATTTATATTTTTTTTACGGTAATGAAACAAAAAACTCAGAAAGATATTTTAGATAAAATATAGAAATATTTCGTTTCGTGTAAGTTGCATTCTTAAAATTTCATTCCTTATTTAAATGTCTAATGTGAAATGCCATGCCCCCATTACCCTCTACCCACCACCTCCATGTACATATCATAATATTAATTTTATTTCGGCGGAATCATTTTTTTTTTTGAAAGAAAGAAAAAATGATAATAAAAAAACCTAATCTAAGGTGTAAAAAAATTGAATAGATTGTGTTTTATTTGTTGTTATTGACTTGTTTTAGACAAGATATTATTTCCGATTGGCTTAATGTAAATTATGGAATCAGGACTCCATTTAAATTTCACCATCTCGATACCCACGAATGAAGTTCCTTCCAATATTACTCCCCCTCCCTCTTTCTCCCGTATTGCATGGCCATATTTTGTTTATTTGTTGGATAACAGAGTAAAGTTAATGATCCACCTCATACAAACGTTGCAGCAAAGGGATGATCAGTTGTTGCTTTGTCGGTGGCGAAAAGCGTTCAGCCTAACGAGAATTTTGGGGAATGTTGGGACTCAGGCAACGAGACCAGAATTAGCATTACAGTCAATGGGAACATTAAGGTGATCTGCCACCTGATAGCCCAAATCAGTGTAGAATTACCTCCCTTATTTTGGAAGCTACAGTGGCTCAATGCGCATGGAGCTGGGTCAGTAACCAGGAGGTACAGGGTCCACCCGTTGTCAGTGATGGAGGAAGGAGGGCCCGGGTTCACCCCTTGTCAGTGATGGAGAACAGGGGCCGCGGGTTCACCTCTTGTCCGTGATGGAGAAAGGGGTCCCCGGCTTCACCTCTTGCCAGTGATGGAGGAAGGGGGTTCCCGGCTTCACCTCTTGTCCGTGATGGAGGAAGGGTGTCCCCGGTTTACCCCTTGTCAGTGATAGAGGGCCTGTCACGGGAAAATGCGTCTCGTCGTTCGGACAGTCCACCCGTTTACTCGTTGGTGTGCACGTAAAAGAACCCTTGACAGTTGGAATTCAATGAAGAGTAGGCAGAATTTCTCTCATATCCCGGTTGCTGCTGAAATGTAAAACGTTTTAACGAAAAACTTATTTTATTTCCCAGAATTTGAACGCCCCATTTGCAATTGGTAATTTGGATGAACTATATTTAGGTTAAAGCCTGACGGATGTAGGCTAGTCCGATCAACCAGACAGCAGATCTGATCAGATTTTTAAACAGGAGCAATGTAATTTAGGCTGGTCTATAGATTCCAAACAAAGCGAATCGGAAATGAATAGATGGAGTCGTTGTAGTTAATTCAATATGCTAGAATGATTTGTTTACTTTTGAAAGATTGGAGAGAAAGATTGTGTCCAATCGACACAAAATAGGTTATTTCGGGACTCACATTTGGTTCAATTTTATTTCAATAAATGGCTTGCGTGTAGGGGTCTTTAGCAGTGGGAGGAAATCGGATGACCCGGAGAAACCCCACGAGGTTGGACAGGCGAACCTACCCCTTGTCACGTACAACCGGGGAATCGAAACCACGCCAGTTGACTCAATGTTAGACCGTATAATACACCGCACACGCGATAACCAATTGGTTACCCAACCTTCCTTAGGGTTTATTAAGGGAATGTATTTTGGATTTTCGATTGTTTAGACCTGCTCAATTCGTCGTTGGTCCATATCAGGCTGACACCTTTAACTTCATTTATATAGCACAACACTGTCCCTGTCCAGTTCAAACTGTACTTGACTTCAGTTATATACCGTAGTTCCATTGCTCAATCTGTAAATAGCACAAGACTGGCCCTGTCCATTTACAAACATTGCCCAGTAGAGACGAGGGAATCACTGATGGAACATTGCTCCTCTTAAATTCAGTAAGCTGTATTCCATAAAATGTTGTGATTCTTTCCATATTGTTACGCTGCATTCTGAACAGTAAAGTTTCATTCTGATACTGCTTTTTAACATTCCCCTCATATTAGACCCCATGGCACATGTATGCCTCTATTAACCCGATTGGTGCAAAAAAGAAGTTAAACTCCATTTCATTTCATTAATAAAAAAGCATGAGGAATCTTGCCTTAGAGACACCTTCTTATAAACACAGTATTCATTATTTAAGGGAACACAATTAGCTAATTAGTGTGTTTTTTTTTACTTAAGTATATTACAAAGGGTAATCGCACATATGTGGCATTTTAGGTTTTTTTTTTATTTACGGTTGAAATGTGTAGTTCGTGGTTTAACGTTTGAGTGTGTGTCGGAGTTATTGTTGTACCCAAACGATGCATTTTACAGATATCCGAGTTGAATCTTATGACTCCGTTATCTAACGCATTATTTATCATATGCGTTGATGTTTGACGCTTATGTATGCGTATTTATCTGAGATGTTATCGATTAAATGTTGTTTACCTACAGACTTATGTTGTACATGGATATAGACTCACTATGTTACTTATCATTACATAGTATATTCTCTGACAGATGTTACTTATCATTACACAAAGTATATTCCCAACTAATGTTACTTATTATTACACACAGTATATTCCCAACTAGATGTTACTTACCATTACACACAGTCTATTCCCAACTATTCCCAACTAGATGTTACTTTTCATTACACACAGTCTATTCCCAACTTGATGTTACTTATCATTACATACAGTCTATTCCCATCTAGATGTTACTTATCTTATCATTACACGCAGTATACTCCCAATTAGATGTTACTTATCATCACAAAAAGTACATTCCTAACTAGATGTTACTTATCATTACATGTAGTCTATTCCCAAATAGTTGTTTCTTACCATTACATAGAGTCTATCCCCAACTAAATGTTACTTATCATTACACACAGTCTATTCCCAATAAGATATTATTTATCATTACCCACAGTATATTTCCTATTAAACGTTGCTTATCATTACACAAAGTCTATTCACTAATAGTCGTTACTTATTATTACATACAGTCTATTCCCAACTTGATGTTGCTTATCATTACATACATTCTATTCAAAACTAGATGTTGCTTATTATTACATACAGTCTATTCCCAACCAGATGTTACTTATCATTAGATGCATTCTATTACCAACTAGACGACCCTTATCATTACATACAGTCTATTCCCAACCAGATGTTACTTATCATTAGATACAGTCTATTCCCAACTAGATGTTACTTATCATTACATACCCAGCTAGATGTTACTTATCATTACATACCCAGCTAGATGTTGCTTATTATTACATAGATATATTTTATTCCCAACTATTTGTTACTTATCATTACATACAGTCTATTCCCAACTAGTTGTTACCTATCAATATATAGCAGAACTTTATCAATTTGGTTGAAATAAATGCATTCCGAGTTATCCACCTCCATAAGTGGATTCGAACTCGCTGCGAGGACATTACAAATGATCGTTCCCCCACCCCCCATGAGGCGGCCCGAACCTCCACCAACTCTTTCCGGTCCTCCCTCTAAAATTAAAGAGATTTTGTGTTATCATTACCACGCCGTGTTCTATATTTTGGATATATATTTATTTTTTAATAATCCATACATATACATCAATTGTTAACAATTTGAGCCAAACCCAGATCATATATCGTTTCATAATATTATAGCTTAAATCATAAATCATATTTTATCAGTGTATAAAAAAGAAACAAAATAGATATCTGTAGTTTAACTAAACTATTTTAGACTCTATTTTTTGGTCAGCGATATCGCAATTGCTGAAGCAGAAGTTAAACATCAAGCAGTCAGTCGGAATAATTTATTCAAATAACAAACGTACTGTGTTGTTTTAGCCCACCCTTCTCTAGATACTAAATATTTTATCTTTCTCGGGGTTTTATTGACATTCCTAACTAAATCACGAGCTTATGTATTTTTTAACCGTCAATTCTCCCAGCACAGGTCAACTGTCTTAATGGTCAATAAGACTATAAGAAAATGATGAAAATGTTTTCTTTAAACAGAAATAGCTTGTGTATGTGTATACTTATATGTGGACCATTTTGGGACTCTACATACTGTAAAACTGTTCATAACACCTGAAGGGAAGATTTAGAAAATGGTGTGTATAAATTTCCTTTACTTTAAACACCGGCCATTTTGGGACTACAAATTTATCACCCTTTTTGAACGGAATATTAATAAATGTTGTTTTGGATGATTCGAGACTAATACATTATCATTCCATCTGAAGAGAATGTTAATAATAGATGGTTATCACCCCACCCCACTCAAAACTTGGGTCAGTTTAGAAATACAAACCATACATTCCATCTGAAGACAATGTTAATGAAATATGATTACCCCCTCCCCCACTCTAAACTTGGGTCAGTTTAGGACTACAAACTTTTCATCCCATCTAAAGGAAATGTTGATAAATTATGTTTATCATCTCGGCCACAAATATTTGAGATTAAGAAAACTATGTTAGTACTCAATGTCCTGAAAGGAAACTAAAAAAATCTTAGTTTTCACGGCGATGACCTAATCTATCGAAAGCTAGATAGTCATATACTCATACACGACAATAATTATCTCTTTCCTTTATGCAGGTAATATTTAATCTACGAAAAACAACACACAAAAAAAATAAAAATCCCCAAAAACAAATCGCATGAATCATGTATTAGAATGAGGATTTTAATAAAAAAAATTATGCAGTTTAGATATGACACATGTTGCATTTAGACAAAATATGACAATCGAGTGGACGTTAAACCCCATTTCATATCATTTAAAATATAACCAATGTCTACCGTATTGACTTTTAAAAAATGACTGATGGCAAGTAATTTACTTCTTGGTAATCTACTACCAATGTTTTATCTACTGCCTAGTGTATTTATTTTCACAAATCACTTGAAGAAATTAATCTTTAGCTTGTGTCTGTATTTGTATATTGTAGACACTCCCTCAATGTATATGTATATATCTATACAGTGGTGTATGTACGACGTACGTGTGTATATTCTTTTACGATACGTTATAGTTTTATCTGGGCTTGAGTCTACGTCAATAATTTGTATAAAGCTAGACTAAATAAAATACTTGGCTTATTCTTTCTCTGAAGATGTTTCATCTTGATTAGACTGGTCTAAATTGCTGTCGACCCTTTGTTGTACATATCATATGTTATATATATATAGGTTTTTAAAGGTTACAGAAATCCATCTCCTTGTTAGGTAAATAATATTATGCTGTCATAT